TTCCGTCGAAGCCCCTTTAGGCTCCTCGGACCATCATTGTCTTGTCCGGAGTGTGGTGCCACTCACGCTGAAATCGCAGTTGCATTCTGCAGGCTGCCGCCGTGTTTGGCACTATAGGTCAGCCGATTGGGATGGGATGCGGTCTTTCTTTGCATCCTACCCTTGGGGGCGGGTTTGCTTCTCGCCGGACGATCCCAACGTTGTTGCGGATTCTGTCGCTGATGTGGTACTTCAGGGTATGGAACTTTTTATTCCTTCCTCTGTGGTGCCCATTGGAGGCAAATCTCAGCCATGGTTTGGTCGCTCCTGTAAAATAGCATCATGCTATAAGCAGGAGTGCTACCAAGCCTGGGCTGACGCGTCAGCGTCCCGGGATGTAAACACCAGCGCTCTAAAAAAGAAGTATAATTCCGCCTCAAGGTCCTTCAAAAGAGTCATTGCCAAGGCAAAGTCAGAGGACATAGGCAGAATTGGCGAGAAACTAGTTCGTCTTCCTTCTGGAACCCGTGAATTCTGGTCTCTCGCCAAGGCTGTCCAAGGGAATTTCTGTCAGCCATCTCTTCCATCTCTGCACAGGGACTCAGGGACGACTCACTGTCCCATACCACAAAGGAGAAAGCCGATCTTCTAGGCTCTTTCTTTGCGTCCAACTCGACTCTCGATGACGGGGGGAGTACGCCGCCGACCATTCCGCGGTGTAAGTGCTCCATGCCGGAAGTGCAGTTCACACAGCGCTCGGTTCGCAAAGCACTCCTCTTCCTGGACATCCACAAGTCGAGTGGACCTGGCGGAATCGCCCCAATTGTACTGAGGACGTGTGCTCCAGAGTTGGCACAGGTTTTAACGCGTCTTTTCCGGTACTCCTACTCCCTAGGCGTAGTCCCAAAATCATGGAAGACGGCTTTCGTCCATCCGATTCCTAAAAAAGGCGACCGCTCAGACCCGTCCAACTACCGGCCTATCGCCATCACCTCCTTGTTCTCCAAAACAATGGAGTCCATTGTAAACTGCCAGCTGATCTACCTAACTCACAGATGGGCGGAGGCAGTAGAGTCCAAGGGGGAGGCATTGGCCGTTAGTTTGGACATTGCGAAGGGCGATCGGGTTTGGCACAAAGCGCTTCTTTCGAAGCTCCCATCCTATGGGCTTCCCGAGAAATTGTGCGATTGGATGACCAGCTTTCTTGCAGATCGGAGCACCAAGGTCGTTGTAGACGATGCAAGCTCCGATTGCAAGCCTATTAATGCTGGTGTTCCACAAGGCTGCGTGCTATCGCCAACGCTGTTTCTTCTGAATATCAATGATATGTTGCAAACCCGTAACATTCATTGCTATGCGGATGACAGCACTGGTGATGCTCTTTACACCGGCCGAGCCAATATTTCTCGGGAAAACGTCTCCGAGTGCCGGGACAAACTTGTGTCTGAAGTCGAGTCTTTGCTGAACAGTCTCGGATTGGGGGCGACTAAATCTAGTCCAGTTTAACCCCCAGAAGACACAAGCTTGCGCGTTAACCGCTAAAAAGAACCTCAGCTGCCTCAGCCAGTATTGGAATCCTCGGCGTCGACATATCGAGTGACGTGCAGTTTCATAGTCACTTGGAAGAGAAGGCCAAATTGGCCTCTAAAAGAGCTTCACCAGACGCAGATACGGCCTCATGCCGGCACACCGCCAGCATCTTTACAAGGGGCAGGCCCGCAGGAAGCCCCGGGGAGTACCAGCTCTTTCCACTTGACCGCATCCAGCGCAGAGCGGCTCGAATCGTCGACGACCGAGTGCTTTCCGATCGGCTCGATTCACTGGCACTGCGAAGAGATGTTGCATCTCTTTGCATTTTCTTTCGCATATACCATGGAGAGTACTCTGAGGAATTGTTCGGATTAATCCCAGCCGCCAAATTTCGTGAACGCACTACGCGGCAAACGTCCCGATACTATCCACACCATCTGGATGCTTGGCGGTCCACCACTGTACGTTTCAAGAGGAGTTCTCTTCCGCGTACAACCTCTCTGTGGAATAGTTTACCACCAGCGATTTTTCCGGACCGATACGACCTGGGGACCCTCAAGAAAAGAGCGTACTCCTTTCTAAAGTGCCGGCAACGCAGCTGCAATTCCCTTGGTGTTGTGGTTGATCATGGGCGGCGGTAGTCACTTAACATCAGGTGAGCCGCAAGCTCGTTTGCCCCCTCTTCTATAAAAAAAAAGCCAACTAAAATTGTTCGTTCACGGAGTGTTGCAAAAAAAATGGTGGCCACGTTTGTCTCCAAAACCGGCCATGTTACGACTATTCCTCTTGAGGGACAAAGAACGGTTAATACAGAATGGTATGCTAGCATTTGTTTGCCACAGATCGTTCCCGAACTCCGTAAAGAGAACTGCAACCGCTGCATCATCCTCCATGACGACAATGCGAGTTCTCACACCGCACACAGAACAAAAGAGTTTTTAGAGCAAGAAAACATAGAATTATTAGACCATCCACCGTACAGCCCCGATCTAAGCCCTAATGATTTCTATACTTTCCCTAAAATAAAGAATAAATTGCATGGACAGAGATTTTCATCACCTGAAGAAGCTGTGGACGCTTACAAAACGGCCATTTTGGAGACCCCAACTTCCGAATGGAATGGTTGCTTCAATGATTGGTTCCATCGTATGGAAAAATGTGTCAAATTTCGCGGAGAATACTTGAAAAGCAATAAATACATTTTTAAATAGTAATGTTGTGTCACTTCCTTGATTCCCGAAATTTTCAGTGCTGCCCTCGTAACGCAATCTATGGGGGAGGCCAATGTTCAGCAGTGGACTTTAATATTTAACTGTATAAGACTTTAGCGGTATAAGCTGTAAAAAAATAGTAGATAGTGAAGAAATAAAAACGTATAGTATTTTTCAATAGATGGAGTGACGAGGACAAAGGAAGTCGATGGATACAGGTGACTTAAGACCGTGTACTGTGCGTTCAGGACCTTTATTAACAGCCTCACGTTATATACATTTCATCATCACATCCCTTCACAAATCCACTACTGAACATAGGCCTCTCCCAAGGAATGCCACAAAGCACGGTCCTGAGCCACCTGCATCCATCGACTTCCTGTATGTCTTTCCAGGTCGTCACTCCATCTAGTGGGGGATCGCCCTACACTACTCCTACCGATACGAGGCTGCCACTCGAGAACATTTTTCCCCATCGGTTGTCGGTTCTTCCATCGGCTCATTGTCACTTCAGCTTACTAATAATCTGCAGGGCTATATCCGACACTCAGGTTCTACTGCGGATATCCTTATTTCAAGTTTAGCATGCAGAGAAACCCCGAGCATAGCCCTCTCCATAGCTCGCTGAGTGACCTTGAACATCCTCATACGGCCAGCAGTGAAGGACCACGTCTCAGATACATAAATCATCACTGGGAATACTCCCTGATTGTATGATCTCGTTTTCAGGTTTTGAGATATACCTGACGAAAAGATGTGTCGTAATTTCCCGAACACTGCTCAGCCGAGTTGAATCCGTCGATTGACCTCTCCATCGAAATTGGACTTACCTAGTCGGGAGTTGTAGCACGAATATGTAAGCCCAGAGTCACAGAATACCAACGTAAAATAGCAGGAGTCTTGAGAACCGGAGACCCTTTTTAATGGAAACGAGACATTCCATCTTAGCCCTCACGGGTGACAACGTATTTGCATTTTGATTCTTAATTGAGGATAAATGTAGATTTTTATGGGCCAAAGCAACCAGTTACCATCGAGTGGACTGTGTGCTCGTTTTTCACCCTTATCCTATAATATATAAAATTTAATATATAAAAACGCCATTTTGCTGGTGTGGATGTTCTCACACCAGCAAAATAGCGTTAAGCTTGGAAAGGGAAAGAGGCACAGACCCTACCCTATTGAAACGTTGCAAAATACCTAACAGCATTGTAACTTTTTCTTTTGTAACATGTCATGTACCAAATCTTCAGATGTTTGTGCCCATTGCAAGGTATGCCCCTGCATCTAGTCAAAGATATGATCTTAACTATGGAATTAAATATGTAACAAACAAGCAAAGAGCCCACCAAGTAGTAAGTGGATGATTTGGCCCATAAACACTCGATTAAGTGTCAAAATCTCTCCAGTTTGAACTGACCATATGAAATATCGCAGAATTACTTTGTGAACGTGACTCTAACACGTACAAAGCAAATGGGAAGATTTTCCGTAATCGCCACGATAAGCTGATTTGACGAGTTTAGTACCAAACATTCTAGCTATTTGCATCTTCGGCGCTACTCCCTGTCAGAGCTTTGGGTATTTTATGTCTGGCATAAATACGATACTTATATACTGCCATTTTGAAAGGCAAACAATCTCCCCTCCCATGCATTTTACGAAGTCTCTTTTTGCAACACCCATTGTACAGAATATAATGAGGATTGTCTTAGGCCAGCACCTCATAACATGAATTTATCAAATAAATTAGGGGTGCTGGCATTTATTGGAAGGTATTACTAAGTTTGAAGCGACAGTAGCCTAATGGCAGGGCGCGGACCGCGAACTCAAAAAGGTCGTGGGTTCGAATCCGCCATCCGACTACTGGCGTGGACCACTCGTAACACAAGCAATTTAAGCTTACCACGAGTAGTTAAGGGGAGTATTAGTAATGTTTATAGCATTGTTAATATTCTTTAAAAAAAAAAGTTTTTAAAGAAAAGACAAAGGCAACTACTAAATTTTTAATTGCATCCAACAAGTTATTCTTAAGCAAAATCCTAAATAACTCAATCTTAACTAAAACATAATAGCTAAAACTTTCCATACATAATATTTTCATTTGCATGTCAGATACAAAAATATTTAATATCTTAATAACGAATGAAAATGCACACACCCAACTGTTAACTTAGTGTATAGAAAAAATATGCTCAATGTCAGCCATCCAATTATCCGCAGTACCATAAACTATGGTCTCTTATTTTTAAACTATTCACAGGGCCAAAGGCGATTAGCTTACAATATGAAGCCAAAATATACAGATCGCTGTATGCTTGAAAACCTGAAAGAAGAAAAACTAATTATTTTTTATTTATAATAAAAAATTTACTGTTTTTTTTTAAATATTTGCGTATTCACCGCAATATTCTCATCAATTGTAAATCAATTTTGATGTTTTATTTTTTAACTAAATAGGTATATAGTAATATACTTCAGATGTGGTCCCAGATAAATTTGAAGAAAAAATTCCACCCCTAAGAGTGGCAAAATAGGGTAGTAAGTTTTATAATGTTATTATTTTGATGGCATTCTATTTATTAAATTAAGCTTGTAATATTCCTTGTCCACTCAAAAGGGCCAAACGTAAAAGCCAACTTCAAAGAATTAAAAAATTTCACTTTCTGAAGTTTGGGGCTTTACTTTAACTCAATCCTGCGTATTTAGCAGGGATGGGAGATATGATAAGGATATAGAACGACGAGTGAATGCGGGAAATAGAGTAAATGGGGCCTTGCACTCTATTGTGAAGAGTCAAAATGTGTCGATAAAGGCACATATGGCAATTCACAATGCTGTGTTGGTCCCCACTTTAACGTTTGATAGTGAAAGTTGGGTGTGGCAGAAGAAGCACGAGAGTAGAATAAACGCAGTAGAAATGCGGTCGTTAAGGAGTATGTTAGGACTGAATCTGAATGACAGGGTAAGAAATTGTGTAATAAGAGAAGAGTGTGGTTTGCAAGATGATGTTGTGACCAGGATTAAGAAAGGAATGCTTCGGTGGTTTGGTCATGTGGAAAGAATGAATGAGGAAAGAGTTACAAAGAAAATTTATGGTGCAGAAGTGAATGGCAGAGTCGGAAAGGGACGCCCTAGGCGAAATTTTATTGAAAACGGGCCAAATTAGGAGTACCCTTAACCGACGAGCATGTATGCGTAGGTGTATGGATGTGAAGGAGGCAAGAGAGGTGTGTCAGGATCGTGCCAAATGGAAGTCTGTAGTCTCTGCCTACCCCTCTGGGTGAAGGCGTGAGTGTTTATGTTATGTTATGTTCAATCCTGAGGTTTCAATAAATTAGGAAACAACAGATCTATTACTTTACCAAATTATAGGTTGTAGCACTCTCTTTCCACCTGGGAATCCATCTGGGTAGGTACCATGTTTTATTTACTTTTGTCATCAAATAGCTGTCTGCTGTACTGTGATGCAATGTGAATGTGATTTAGTTTTGATTTGATCAGGTAGACTGTATGTTTGTTTCACACTTTAATTTATAGATTGTATCTATTACAGGTGCAATAACTTTAATGGAAATTCCCCAAAGATAATGCTCTTGTGTTTTTTTTTTTTTTTGGTAAGTGATGCATCACCAAAATAATAAAGTATTTTATATCTTAAACTCCCGTCATATATCTTAAGAAACTTACCAAAATATATTATTAAGTGTCACTTTTCCAAAGCTTGATAGTTTTGTCATTTTCTAATGCAGCAGAAGCTATGATATTCTCGGTGGGGTGGCATGCAGTGCACAGCACTGTGTCAGTGTGCCCTGAAAGTCGCTGAACTATTTCTTTTGATTGCAGATTCCAAATATACACCAGATTATCTTCTGAACCTGATACTATCCACTGTAAAAGACAACAAGAAACTTTTAAATTAGTAAAAGTAAAGTCGTAAAGTTACAACCTATATACTGAGGGTTTTAGGGCAACGAAGTGTCCGCCGCGCTGCCCCAATGCGTGTTGGCGAACTTCATATGTTTTCGAAATGTATTTTTTTCTTATTCCTCAGAGATACAGGTTTCCTCACGATGTTTTCCTTCACCAACAGCATGTGGTAAATCAGCTTAAAATTTCAATTAAAAATTTCATTGGTTCGGGCGGGGATGGAACCTGGGTTACTCACATTCTATTTACAGCTAGCGTTAACCATCTAAGCTACCACGGCTCTTAAATTAGTACTTTCTCATTATTTTCATTTCCTTGCAATAAAAACTTCATTTTGTAATTATGTTCCTTCAACTTTGTTGCGTAATCATATAGGAATAAAATATTTTAAAAGGTAAAAAACATTAATTTACTAATTTTAAATATTTCTGTGCTTTTAGTGTTATAATTTTCTTACGGTGTTTGCAATTCTGTGATTTCCAGCTTCATGAACCAGCCATTTTTTGTAAAGGCTTTAATATCCCCTAGACCAACATACATACAGCCGAAGAACAGATCTGAACTGAACTAAGAATGAGCTAGCTATTTATCTAGCTGAACCGAAAACCGACGAGTGTAAGTGGAATAGGAAAGGAATCATTTTTTATTCAATATAGATTAAATGTAATACTTGTTGAGTCATTTTTTACTTTTACCACTGGCGATCTAGTAAGATTCAGGAAGTCGATAGGTGTAGGTAGCTCAGAACCATGCTTTGTGACTTGGGGAGACCATGTTCAGCAGTGGACTTTGATAGGCTCAATGATATGATGATTATGACTATGGTGATAAATATATATAATAATATTCACAGTATAAAAAACTATGATAATGACATAACTTTGATTTGCTTGAACTTACCTTTCCACCTGTAACACTGAAGTTGGCAAAAATGCAATATTTTTCATTCTTGTGTCCCGTATATGTCTTAAGACACTTTCCTCTACTGTAGTCCCATAATTTAAGTGTGTTGTCTAATGTTGCAGCAAGAATATATTTTCCATTTGGGGAGAATTTTACAAAGGATACAGGTGGATTGTCATCATCTATTAATGTCTTCAAACACTGGCCTGAAGCTGTGTCCCAAATTCGACTGAATGTAAAGAAAAAAACAAACAATATATAGATGTTCAAATCCAAATTTTTTATTAATATTTTGTTTAAAGCTCTTATTAACGTCAAATCTATACCCGGTTGCAAAAACAAGGCAAGAATACTAAGGTCCTCAAATTTTTCTGAACATACTAATTATTTACAAAGGTTAAACATGTGAAGTGTTAAAATATTAATGGCCTGCTATGTTACATTATATGTTGCCAGTATCGCTTGCTTCTGCAAAATGAACATACACTCTGAGAGTAAGAGATATAAATAATTTCTGCAGAGCATCTTTGTTAAATGTTGTTACTTAAGAAACAGCCTATTACTTTAACACAGGAAATAATAATATATTCATTAAATTCTCATAAAATTTAAATAACTTGTTAAAGAAATGCAAAGAAAAGTGACTTGAAATAAACTTTAAAAAATAAAAATATGCATTTAGCACTCATGACATGCAAAATAGCAAATCACCATTGGTGATGATCACAGTTGACAATTTTCTCTTTTATAGCACTTTATTGGGGGGGGGGATATTTGCAGGCCATAAAGGTCTGAATAAATATTTTTAAAAGTTTTGTCTATCTGTCCAGTCCAGTATACAATATAATTGCTTACTAGGACTGCAGACTAATAATATACAATAAAAACTTTAATGAGATTTAATGTACAATAATTGACTTTACACACACAATTTATAAGGCTAAACACATTTTCTGAATATCTAATGATTGACCTTGGCGGACATAGATACTATTTTTAATACATAACCATTAAATGTAAAGGAAAATATGTACATATTTGTTAAAAAATATTCACCATAAGCCATCATAACTGGATGAGACAATAAGGCTGCCATCTCTGTTGAAATGAACTGCTGAGACTGGATCAGAATGAGCTGGTAATGTCTTCAAACATTTGCCTAAAAGCAATTCATTCTCTTACTTACAAAAATATACTATAACATCAAATTGTTAACACACTGCAAATACAATATGAACTAAATGACAATCTAACTTGTTAGATTTTTCGTACTAAAAATTAAAACAGATTTATTGGCTGCATAATACGTCAAAACGTAGCATTTTTAATAATACTAATAATAAGTTGCTATTGCAACTCATCGACACAAGCAACAACATAAAACCACAAGTAGTAAAATTAAAAATTTTGTACAACTGATTTCAAAATAAATAAAATGAGAACATTAAATATGCATTATTAAGGATAACTCAAAAACTACTGCTCAGATTTTGATCAAATTTATAAAAGATCACATGAGAAGCACCAGCTTTAAATTAAACCTTAATTTACCTCCTGGGTCCATGGGACTCGCTGCTGAACTATCTCTGCGCCTAACTTTTTTTCATTTGCTTTGTTTCTTCCGTGCGGCTTTGTACCTTTATTCAATGTCGCGTTTATCGCGTTGGTTAGAGGATGTGTCACCGCTCTGCTTCTTTCGGAGAGTAATAGCTTTGAGCGAGTCTCAGGGACCACAGCGGGGTATGTACGTAACTGTTTTTGTTTTTGAGCTATTTTTGTAAACATATTATTTTTACCATTTTACGGCACACAATGGCAATTATTAATTCGGTTAAAACGCAGCATCTGTTATTCATGATTGGCTAAGAAACTGCGAAGATAGTCACTCAGGCGAAGAATCTTTTACCCCATTGAACCAAATAAGAAGATTTGCACCAAATGATGTAGTTTCTGAGTTAGAGGATAATTGTGAAGTCTGACCATAGTTCTGACACAGAATTTTTCGCTTCCAGTGACGACGAAGGAAGTATACAGTCAAGCGTAGCTTCAAACTATTACTATGGGAAAAACCATTACAAGTGGTTTCGAAATCCACCTTCACGAACTTCACGCACTCTGTCTCACAACATACTACGCTTACCTTCTGTACATAATGCTGCTCTGGAAAATGGATATTTTTTCCACTTCAAACGTTTGAACTTATTTTTGAAGGTCAAATGGACATTATTTTACGGTGGACAAATGCGAAACTTAAACAACTGCAAGACATATACCCATCAGAACACTTTTAGACAAAGTTAGTTTTATCAATTGGATATGAAGGCTTTATTGGTGCTGTAGATATATAGTGCGGCTTTCAAGTCTGGTCATAAAAGCGTCCAGGCTTTGTTTGCTACAAATGGAACAGACCGAAGGCAAGGCATCTATGTCTAAAAACGTTTCTTGGTTTTTCCAACTGCACTGCGATTTGATAATTTCGGAAACAGGGAAGAGAGAAGACAAGATGATCCTGGATGTGCTGTCACTGATTTATTGGACTCGTTCAATAAAAAAAGTAACGTAAAGTTACAACCTATATACGTCCCACTGCTGGGCACCGGCCCCCCTCATTTCTGAGAGGGTTTTAGGGCAAGGAAGTGTCCGCCGCGCCGCCCCAATGCGTGTTGGCGAACTTCACATGTCTTCGAAATATTTTTTTTTCTTATTCCTCAGACATGCAGCAGTTTTTCTTCACCGCCAGCACGGTAAAATCAGCACTGCTTAACAATTTCATTGTCTGGCGGGGTCGAACCCGGGTTACTCGCGTTGTGTTATATTTACAGCGAGCATTAACCATCTGAGCTACCACAGCTCCGTTCAATAAAAATTCTCAAAAATTACGTCTCTGCCATACCCAGCAAATCAGCCAAATATGGCCTAAAGCTCCAAGTTTTAGCTGATTCTAGCACATTCTTTATGTACAATACCTATCTTTATACTGGAAAGGGGCCAGATGGAACAACTTTGTCAATGGAAGAGAAGATGAAGTCAGTTCCTACGCAAGCATAACACAAACCGGCACATTACTACAGATAGCTGGTACTCTTCACCAAGTTTTCAATGGAAAAAGTTTTGGTAGGGGATTTGGTCCGACGACATAAGCTATGAGGAAGCAACGTGGATCAATCTGGAGGATGAACATCTCACCAACTCAGTGCCTATGACAGTGGTCTCCATTACGGCAGGAAATGTCACAAAATCTGTGAACAAAATACACAATTGGAAGGCCACAGGTCCAGATAATATTCATAATTGCGAAATGTTTTATGGCCTTCTTCCAAAAACCTAAAAGTATTCCTGCACATCTTCCGAATGGAGTTGCATAGCTGATACTGAAAAATGAGAATATCAACCTGTGTCTGTACTGTTTAGGAGCTACTTACATCATGCTTGGCTGATAAGACATACAAGTACTTGGAGCAAAATAAAATGCTAGCAGTGGAACAAAAGGGATGCATTAGAAAATCGCAAGCCTGTAAGGAACAACTCTTGATTGATGCTGTGGTCACAGAGCAGGCTTATCATAAAATGCGGAATGTCCATATGGCATATACAGACTATTGCAAAGCATTTGGTTCTGTGCCACATTCCTGGCTAGTCAAAGTTCTCGAATTGTATAAGATCCATCCTGAGATAACATCATTGCTTCAACAACTTATGTCCAGCTGGAGAACTGAGCTGGTCTTGAATTTGGAAGGGTACAGTGCTAAAAGCGATCATATCTCTATTCAACGGGGCACATTCCAGGGCGATAGTTTAAGTCCCCTATATGGTTCTGTCTCGCCTTGAACTCACTGTCTACAGTCTTGAACCACACAGGATACGGTTTTGTCATTAAGGGAAGTAGTAGGAGGCAATTTAAACTGAACCATTTATGGATGACATTAAATCGTACGCGGAAAATTTTCGTGAACTTAAGGGACTGCTCCAATGGGTTGAACAGTTTTCTAAAGATATCTCGATGTGTTTTGGTCTAGACAAGTGCCGAACAATAAGCATTGATCGAGGAAAGGTGAGGCTTTCTGAAGCTTATTGTCTTCAAGATGGTGGAATCATCAATTCAATGACAAAGGAAGAAACCTACAACACCTGGGACCCCTGCAACCACGAGTTGACCACAGAGAAATCAGGACTCGGGTAACTACTGAGTACCACCGTAGGCAATACTCAAGTGGTCTCAATGGTAAAAACACTTTCAAGGCAATCAACATTTTTGCTATGCCAGTACTTATGTACACTTTTGGGATCGTCAAGTGGTCGGAGACTGAACTTGAGAGTATGTACCCGTGTAATACTTACACAATATTGAATCCACCATCCAAAGTCAGCGGTTGAGAGGATTACCCTACCAAGAACTGAGGGAGGCAGATAGGCTTATTAAAATTAAGAGACAGCATATCAGACAAATACAAAATTTACAACAGTACTTCTGGAATAAATATTCTTCTCCCCTGCACCATAATGTCTGCCTGGCTAAATAACAGGTTTACACCATTGAATCTTCTCCATGCAAAAGACATTGAACCCCTAATAAGTGATTTAAACCATGTTAAGAATAAACTTAGCCAGTGGGCATCGAAGCCTATTCACAGACGTTTTGCTAATGAGCTAAAGAATCCACATGTGGATGCTGTTGCCTTAACTAACTGGCTTTGTAGAGGGGGAATATTTGCCGAAACAGAGGGATTCATGATAGCTATCCAGGATCAGGTGATTCCAACAAGGAACTATCTGAAGTACATAATTAAAGCTGAGGTAGAGGATTAATTATGTAGGTGTAGTAGACAAAGCCCCGAAACAATTCAGTTTGAAAATTGGGCTTAGAAAGATCTTTGCTCGACAAAATTCAAAAGGCTGTAATCTTGAGGACAACTGCCTTAATCTTGCCATAAAAGCCGATTTAAGAATATCATCCCAACAAGAGGAGTGACCCAAGAAAAAACATAATAATAGTTTTATTTGAAATAATTATTTAGATATTAATAAATTTGACTACCTACTAAAAATGTCACTAAATGCACAAATATTACAAATAATTTTAATGAGAATATTCTGGGACCCAAACAGAGAACTACAAAATCGCGCAATACGGTGATGGATCAGCGCATCCAAACAGCGACACGGGCCTCTGCGAACATCTGGAACGCACTACAGTATAGTGGCTGATGAAACAACACGCAGAACAAATCATTATATACTGCACCTTTAGCCTGCAGTATTCCTCTTTAGTGCATTCGTCCACAGCTGAGGAGTTTAAAGTGGCTGAGAATTCCGATTTTCAAATTAATTTTATTTTAAAAATATGAATTTCCTTTTTCAAAATTAGTCATATGTTTATTGATTAGTATTATGTTTTCATCGGATTTGAATCTTTTTCGTCATCATGGATATGTTAAAAATTCGAGTGCTTATGGATTATATCCGTCGTGGCAGCAACGCGGCACAAGCCAATTATCGTCTTTTACGGAGTTAATACTATAAACGAACACACCACCTGTTATTGGTTTGTCTGCTTCCGTTCTAAAAATTTCGACCTGAAAAATTAACCTTGTGGTCGAAAACTCTTAGGTTGACAATGACGAACAAAAAGCGATTGTGGAAGTTGATGTTACTCATTCTACGGCTGAATTAGCAGCAGCTTTCAATGCATCAAAACAATATTGGCCCATTTGTGTCAAATTGGCAAGATAAAAAAGCTTGAGAAATCTGTGCCCCACAAACTCAATGATCACCAGCACAAAGTATGCATTTGAAACGTGCCTTGCACTGGTCAACAGGCACGCAAACAAAGGAATTCTGAACCACATTGTTACCAGGGACGAAAAACGGATTCTGTTTGACAATCGCAAGCACTCATCCTAAACGAAAAATTACCGAAAGTGATGGTCACTGCTTGGTGGTCTAGCGCTGGTGTAATTCATCACAGCTTCTTACCAAACATTGCTGCAGATGTGTACTGTGAAGAACTGAACACAATGATGGATAAGCTCGCATTTTTCGCAATCGCACTCACCAGACCTTGCACCTAGACTACTACCTTTTCCAAAATTTGAATAACTTTTTGGCGGGAAAAAAATTCAATACCCAAGAGGCAGCACAAAATGCCTTTGAAGTTTGTTGCTAAATAAATTGCCAGTGTGTTGGCAAAGATGGATCATGTCTTTGGACTTCGATTAACAGAATAAAGTATTAAAAAAAATTGTGAACTTATTTCATAAAAAGCGGCAATTTCATAGGTAAAGATTTAATATATAAATTATTCAAAAATTGTTGTCTTACCTGTTCTAACATCCCATATTCGGACACTTTCATCAAAACTTCCAGAAACAATAAGGTTACTTTGTGGGTTGAAATTACAGCAAAACACATAATTACTGTGTCCTTTTAAGGTCTTTAAACATTTGCCTGAACTAAGTTCCCATACCTGTAACAACAAGAATTTAATTTTGGAATACATAACATTTCTACTCATTTAATGACTTGAGACTTTTATTTTATAATAGGTTTTGAAATTTACTCTAATATATTTAGGCACAAACAAAATACTATCAACTACTAACACTTGTACACAACTATTTTTATATAACCAGAGAAATATAAAATTCATATTTTAATAACTGAAATACAGCATACTAAATATCAAAAAATGATTAAATTTCTTAATCACAATTTCAATTCCAAATTTTCAATATTAAAATTTGTAATTGAATAAAACTATATATTTTATTGCATTTAATTAACTTAATTAAGAAATCATTTGTTAATTGATTAAGAGCAGATAGGGGAATTTCACTGACAATGTGTTACTACATACACTGGAATAGTTAGCTCTAGTGCAATGGCTATTTGGGTACTAAAAATAACATCTTCTTTTTTAGTTCTTTTGTAGTATGTCCATTTTAGTAATTTAAAAAAAAAGTTGCTCAAATTAAATTTAAATATATTTTTAATTCACATATGCAATGCCTAAATGTTCTACAAGCCCTCAATTTTTTCTCGTATTAAAATTTAGAGGTAATCAAATCCTGTAGATAAATTGTGACTTAATAAAAAGTTTTACCAGGTAACATTATGTGACTTCCATGAAATACTTGACACTTAAAACTAATGCATAAACCTTCTCAAATAGAAAAGGTTTAGGCCTAGATTGGCTGGCATATTGTTATTTATAATTTATTAGAGACAAGTTCAAAGTGTGTAAAGGCGAATATAATAAGTCATAACATACATTATTAAATATGATTTACAAAGCATTACTGACATTGATTTAAAAATTGTTCCCTACTTCCTACACATTTTATCAAAAATTGATAAATTATCAAGTGTGAAAAAATGAAGTGTATTCTTAGAGTTGGGTTAAAAAAGTAAACAAGTTTATCTATCTGGGTCTATATTATCTTTAAGAGATAAAATACCGTGAGAAATATTTCATAAAGAAACTTAGCCATTCAGTATTTTATAATACCATAGTTTAACTATAGATTTTCTTAAGAAAAATTATCCAAAAAAGAAAAAAGAATAATATCATATGCTTAAAATTGAATTAATGTTTTTTTTCTTTAAGGGGGAAGTTTATGAATAATCAAAAAATTGTAATACATTTTATGCATTTCTTAGAGAGGTATATTTTTAAAAATATAAATTTTGCTAAATAATACCTCAAAACATAAGAAAAACAGGCTATTTGAATGAGAACTGTGGGACCTTACAGGCTAAAAGCTAGCTGTATATTTCATAATATTATTGGAGCAACCAGTTCAAGTGCACTGGTAACAATTATAGTGTAAATTGCAATTTTAAGCACTGATTTACCAGCATGTATGAGAAACAATAATTATTGGATAGAGCACAGACTTCCTTTTATTTCTGAAAGGGCTGTGGAGTAATTAGTCTACTATCTAGTTAGTATGTGTTGGCTGAATTCACATGTATTCGGTGCTAGACATTGACTAAATATCTCAATAAAATTCAAATACACAATTTAAATTAGTAGTTCAAATGTGCAATAATTATCAAATTTCATACAAAAAGCAGTTTCATACAAATTATGGTGGCAGTTATTTATAAAAATAACTGTCACCATAATTTGATAAACTATTCATAAATTATTATTATTATACCTTTAACCCCTATGGTACCGTGGACATGTTAACATGTTACACCGTTGAGTACCGCGGATATGAATTCATGTCCGCATTACGTGCTGCTATTTTCGTCTTAATTGATATAAAAATATAGTATATTTTTAATTGAACACTATTTCATTCGATTCTGAACGAACTAAAGAATATTCTGAAGAATTATATTCACTCGGTTACATAGACAAAATCAAATATAACAGCCATTCGCTTTTGCGCTGCTGTTGCGGTTAGTTGTGTAATCGTTGAAGTTTTGTGATTGTGATTTTAGTTGGATTTTCTTTCAAAAAAACGGTAAGTAATGTTATTTATCTTTACTAAGTAATGTTTTTGAATGATCTAAGTTACAACAACAATAACTTTTTATGTTTCAATTGATAAAAAAGTAGAAATATAAAACCTCTACGCGAACAATTCATAACGATCAAGATTTCTAATAAGATTCTAATAAAATAATAATAGTATATTTCTTATTGGAATACCATAGTAAATACTTTTACTAGGAATTGCTAAATGTTATATCTATGATTATATAAGAAAAATAGAGGAAGACGATATAAAATATATACACAAAAAGGTTTTGATTGTCGAATTTTTAGCAAATGTTTGCAAGTGAAAAAGTAGAATTATTATAATTAGGGTAAGTGCACCAATGAATGAACCCTTAAGGCAATTTCAAACTTTGAAAATTATAAGCATCTATATATGGGTGGCTGTGCTTTAATAATGCCACTCTATTACATTCAAAATTTATTCAAGTTTAATATTATATGGGCAATCTGCCGTTAAAGGACATAATTACTAAGATAATCGACATTTTATGCCAAAGCACCCAAAATCACCAGTAAATGAACACCAAAATCCAGTGCATGAACATTTTAAACTCCAATGAATGAACGTTTTCTGTTGAAACTAATTAAGCTAGAAATCACAAGTTTCTGATTATTTATTAAATGTAAATGAGGTTTTATAATTTATATACTTCTTTGAATAATATAACTATGAATTTGAAAGCGATGGTGTAGGCATATTTATAAAAACACAGTGGGAAATATAAAAAAAATAAAAAGAGAATAAAACGAAAACATAACTTTTATTTAAATTGTAGGCACATTAAAATCACAGAATAATCAACGTAGCCGTTACATGCTATTCGACATACTACTCTTAATTCCAACTAGGTAATCACATTAGTAGATACATTATTTCAGTCTTTACTCTTGCAAATTAGGCTTTAGGTATCACTTTTAATTAAGAACTTTGATTATGTTCTACCTAGATAATTAAAACAATAGCGGACTAGAATCATCATTGGTTATAAAAATATATAATTAACAAAGATTAAAAAACATGTTGTACCTAAATCAAATAAAAACAATTTTTATGAAACTTATCAAATTAAACCTTAAGCTTACAATATAACTAATCAACAATAAGCGTAACAAAAATATGATACCTTAATCTCTTCACATTCTAAAAATAACTAAACCGGTTAATGGTATTATTAATTTAAAAACTAACCATAAAGTGTGAGATAAGCGTAATCAGCAGTACATTTTTTCTCACTATAAAAAATATCAAAAGAATTAAAACAATTATTATTCAATATCTTTAAATACTAAATCGTCAAAACAAATTAATCCGCGCCTAGAAATATTCGGTGTACCGAATACACGTTTAATATCATCGAAATCAACTTCTGCAATATCTGGCACTATTGGTTTTGCAAAATTGACAACATTTTCCACAACGGATTTTTTTCTAAGAAAATCTACTTTATATTTTCTTTCATTGTCATTTACCATTATCACTTTTCCTACAAAATGACGCATTCTCTTTCCACTCTCAAATTGAACCAGTACATATCTATCAAATAAATTGTCCTTAAATTCAGTACAAGTCGTAGTAGTTCTCCTAGTTTCTATTTCAGTCTCTTCACTTGCTTCTAAATTATCTGTTGTTATAAAATCTTCGGCAGGTTGTGTGTGATCATCATGTTCTACTTTCATTTTCTTAGCTTGCTTTTTTAAGGGGATTTTTTGGGCGTTTCAGTTGAACACGTTTTTTGCTTTGAGATTTTTGTTTGTTCAGTCTTTTTTCTTCTCGTTCCTTTCTTTTATTCGCTAATTCTTCCTCCTTAATTTTTTTCTCATCGTCCTGATTTTTTAAATATTCTTTGTATTTGAGCCCTGTTAATCCATAAGGTGCAGGCATTTTTTTTGTAACTTTAAATTTCTTTTGTGGTAAATCCGGTATTTTCAAAAATCCTTCTAGTAGATTGGATGGATTTGTATCATTCGATGAATTAATACTATTAGTGGGATCTATTACAGACTTTATTGCAGTCTGACTATCAACTGTGGACTCAAGCGAATTTTTTGCTTGATTAGTGTTATTGCTGCAACTGGGAATGGCTGGTATGGATGATGCGTTATTCTGAGGAGAAGAGCATTTATTAGGAGCGTCAATAATGGGGTCTTTTTCTACTATTATTTCTAAAGTATCATACCATGGCAATGGTATCACATCAGGTATGTCTATTTCATTCTGAATAATAAAATCTATGACATCTTCAGTTGTATCAAAGGGTGGTAAATTGGGTAAAATACTAGTCTCACCCAATAATATGGAATTATCCGATGGCAGTCGGATTGCCGAATCTATTATAATTGAACTATTAGTTGCATGCATTTCTTCAGTTTCCACATTTGTAATTTCAGACTCGACGATTTCGGGAACACTATTCCTTTCCAGTGCCTGGCTTGATTCCAGTTTGGAATCGTCCTCGTTTGAAGTAGACGCTTCTATAGATGATACTGACAGATCAAGAGGAATGATCGGGGTATTCGGTGTTATCGTGTCACTCTGTTTTTTATTCTCAAGTTGATTTCTACATTTTTTCCACAGCTCAAAATATTGATGGGGATGAGAACGGTTTAAATTGTAAGACATGACAAACTCATTTCTTATCATCTGGCCAACTTCACCTTCTATAACCTTGATCGTACTTCGTAGATCCTCTTTTTGGTCATGAAGACTAGAGGTTGTGGTGCCTTTTTGGTTTTGTTGCGCAATTTCTTGCCTTCTATTACTTATGCAGCGTGAGTAGTCAACTGCATCTGGAGACATTGGATATAAACCACAAACTCTAAATGAATTTTTTATCGTAGTTGGCTTAATGCTTCTGTCGTAAGCTATTTTAAACAACGCAGCAAAATTTTGTTTTGTTATAGGTACAGTGGATGCCTGTTTATGCTTTCTCACTACCCTTTTCCAATTTTTCTTCAACGGTCCAAATATTCCTACATCACATGGCTGCAAAATATGAGTTGAGTTGGGATATAAACAGAAAATCATTATTCCTTTTTCACGACCGAAATCAAACATGTTACGATTGATATGGGACTTGTGGCCATCCAGAAATAGCAATACAGGCAACCGGATTTCATTTTTTACCAACCATTCATAAAATAACTTAATGTAGGTAAAAAATACAACTGATACCATCCACCCGCTGTCGGAACGGCCAATATACCAAGTATCTGGGAAATTTTGAATTACGGCTGGTGGCATTCTTTTATATGGATACAAAACAAACGGTGGTACATCAGTACCATCAGCAGAGAATGTACATAGGACTGTGATTGATTCTTTTTCTTTCCCACTTGCGATTTCGTATGTATTTTTATAATTTTTGGGCCCCAAAATCAGCCCCGTTTTAAGACAAGTCATGACGCCAGTTTCATCTGAATTGAAAATACGAGTCGGGTCATCTTTAATGTCTAAGGCATTTTCTTCCTCTAAAAACTTGTTCAATTCAGTAAACCAATTTCTGATGGCCTCTTCTGTAACCGCTGCCCTAGCTTTTGATATTATTTCAGCGTTTCTTTTAGTTACTTCGGGATGTCTTCGCAAAAACAAAGTAAGCCATTTTTTCCCCGGTCGGCCTTTTGTAAATTTATTCTCCCTCTCATTTTGTTTCAAGAATATTTCCACAGTATCATAAACTTCTTCCGGGTGCATTGGAAACCCAAGTTTAGCTTTTGTTAAAATCCAGTCTGCTAGCTTGTTTTCTTCGTCGAAAGTTAGTTGTGTTAATGGACCCATTTTTCGTTGCCATGGTACTTTATTATTTAATTTATTACTTAACGTTGATTTGGGTATGTCGTATATTTTGCTGGCTTTATTAATAGACAAATCGTTATTTGTTATACGGGTAAGAGCCTCCTCTAACTGTTGTTGAGTATAACGGAATCTTGCGTATTTCTTTTTAGTAGATTCCATTATTTTTGAACTAAAAAAAAAAGGAGAAATTGAAGTTGAAGCGTCTGAATATTTTTTGTAACTAATTACTGAGATAAAACTAAATATCACTGCTTGAAATATAACAAAACATTAATAGTTTATTTATTCATTCATTGGATTTTAAAAACCAGTAAATGAACGTAGCAATAATACTATAGTTCATTCATTGGTTTTTGAAAACCAGTAAATGAACGTAGCAACAATACTATAGTTCATTCATTAGATTTAAAAACTAGTAAATGAACACTAGGGTGTTCGAATACTGGCCTAAAGGTAGACAATCAATAATTAAACCTTTCTACAAAAAATAAACCAATTCTGAGAACAGAAACATGCAAAATTAGCCAAAAGTAACAAAACAGACCAGAACCAGTGAATGAACACTCGTTCATTTACTAGAACTTTCTCACTTTCATGATCTAGTAATCGAACACCCCTTTATTTTTATTAAACACATGAAATTATAAACAAGTTGTTTTCTAATGAATAAAATAATCATTGTTCTATCTTATTATGCAGTTTTCTTTACACTGTCACTCATATAACGTGAACAACGCTAATACCAAAATGCACTGTCTTACCTGAGTCCTAAATTCTCGCTCATACAATCACGAAACACAACACAACACGTCCACTTTAAGCAGTCGCCATTTTGTAACTACGGGTCGCTGGCAAATGTTTGTGTGACCAGTTTACGTAAAAAAATTAGACCACTCGAAAAAAAAAATACAGTGTTTGGTAGAAATGTTTACTTTTCTTATTATATTGAAAAAACTCACTTTTGTTCATTCACTGGGGGGTGTTCATTCATTGGTGCACTTACCCTATTACATGCATAATTTCAGCTCATTTAAGAAGAATATATTGATTGTTTGTAAGGACATAAAAATAAAAGAAAAACTTATGATATTTCATTCATAAAACAAAATTTATTGTCAGTAAGTACACTTTATCAAGATCCGTTAGAAACAAAGAGCTGTACAAAATAAAATAAACATTTAAATGTTATGGTTATTGTTTCTACTTATCGAAAATCTTATCGGCTTTAAATAACTGTAACTAAAACCTCTTTGAACATAAATGAAAGGTTGTGAGAAACATAAATATTTAAAACAAGTGCTGCCAGGACAGAGGCCCCCCCCATACAAAGCTGTTTTTTGTTATGGCGGGCGCAGTAAGGGAAAGGTTAAACGAGCAATTCCTGTATATATATAAATATATAATCGGAATCTCGGAAACGAAATTTTCATGAAAATTAGTGTCCAGGGGGGTTTCGGGGGCAATAAATGGATCTAGCTAGGATTTTTTTTTGAAAATGTTTTTGTCTGTGTTTTCAAGCAATGAAAAACTGCTACACAATATAAGAAGATAAATTTCGACACTGTGTTAATTAATGATCGTAATAGCTCAAGTGGATAACAAGCGGTCGCAAAATCATAATGCCTTGGTTCGCGTCCTGTCTTGGGTCCGACTTTTATCCTTTTTTTCAAGTTCCCTTCTTTTGTGAGAAAATCTATTATTGCGAGCCCTTTTTTTTAGTATTTTATAAAAATCCGAAAATTTAAATTCAACTAATTGCACTCATGATTTTTTATTCAAATATCCAGTTCAGGTTTTTCTATTATGTCAATAAGATTAAAAAAATATTATTCATGTTTCATTAGTATGTAACTTGTATCTAAATGTAATTTCAAAAAAAAAACCAAGCAAAGCTCGGCCATCTAGGTACTATAGTTAATATTCAATACTCTCAAAACTAATGACATCTTATGAAAGCATCCTAATTATACTATAGTCATAAAACGTTTTTAAATAATAGACAAGAAAACTTACACAAGTCAAAGGGTCAGTACAGTAGGCATTGTGCAACATTTCGCCTCTAACAGTGCATCAATTATTTACGACACATTTTAATAAATAATTTAAAAACCCCTCTTACAACCTACCCAATAAAAATAGATTAAATAACGTTACTCACCTTTAATGTCTTGTCATCACTAGCACTGACAATTAACCTGCTGTCTGAGGACCAAGCCACATCACTGATGCCCATTTTGTGTCCCGATATAGTCTTCTCAAATTTGCCATCATAGGCACCCCACACCTTAATAAGTTTGTCAGCAGCTGAAAAGACAGTTTGCAATTTGCATAGACTACATTTATACTGCTTAAATGTTACATAAAGTTTATAAAACCTGATATTCTGTTCTATCACAAAAATTTTACTAAATAAATCAAATTTTATATTAGATTAGCCTTAGGCCCAGTTTATATTTTGAGAAGTGACAAGTGCAAGTGGCAAGTGAGAAAAGACAAGTGTGTATTTTATTCCCACTTGTCACTACCTCGCACTATGCACATGTGTATATATATATATATATATATATATATATATATATATATATATATATATATATATATATATATACATACATACATACATGCACCAAGCACTTGTCATTTGTCAGTTGCACTTGCCACTTGCACTTGTCACTTCTCAAAATGTAAACTGGGCCATGGGAGTGAATATTTTTATAAGTCTTATTCTGACGCTACAATAATGTGTTTGCATATTCATTTTTTTCTACAATATTTGCTACAATATTGTATTTCAATATTTTTTATCATTTTTATGCAGGAAACTTTCAAGTCAATGTTTAAACTTTTATATGCCCAAAACCTAGACTTGAATGAATTAACAAACAAAATGAAAATTTTATATATTAGATACAGGTGTGGAAATATTTATTTTGATTCTACTGGTCAGTTAGAATCAGAAAAAACATACATACACACACATACATACACACAACACTATAATAAATCAACTTGAAGGATTCTTAAATTTCTATCAAATCTCAGTACGTTATATAAATATTACCTAATAAAACTGTAATAATCCTTAATATACATGACTAAAGAAATTCCTACATACTGTGATTACTGGTAAGAAATATATTCTTTTATAGAATACAATTACCTTACCTTAAATAATTTTTTGAGTTTTAACAAGACTAACGGACAGGAATTGAGTTTTATATATAAGATTATGTGATAGAATACAATATGTAATATTTAATACTAAATTTTATATTATACATTTTTTGTAGACATTTTATGTATATGTAAATTAAGTGGGAGTTTTAAATACTTCCAATTAAGATACCATGACATTAGTTGTATTAAACCTAATGTTAGACACCGATAAATTATTAAATTATGTTCTTTATGTATAATCCTCTAACATAATATTACCTTCTTAAGGTTTTTTTTTAAATATAAAGTGGTAATATATAAGAATAGATTACTACTATCTTTTTAATAAACAAATATAACAAAGGAAACATTGATATATGTAAATTACTTTTGTTAAGTAATGTAGGTAAATGTTGTTAAATAATGAAGGTAAATAAAATTATACTCTTGCATAAAATGCTTTATTCATAATAGAAAACATCAAAGACTGATTAGAAATGTTATAAATTTATGACTACTATATACATGTGAAGGTCATACTTAAGAAATAATGTTAAATAAGGAGCACTATAAATTCAAGGACTTTAGCCATTAAAATGTTATTTCTAATATGATGTTTTATTCAAATTACTATAATAATAATATTTTAACAAGAACTAATACCTATCCAGAAGCGGTTTGATATTCTGAATAATATGATAAAATTATGTACATAAATGTCAGTAAAACTTACAGGAGCTTGCAAGCCATTCTCCATTAGGACTGAATTTAACGGAAGACACAGCCTTTGTGTGCCCCGCAAGAGTAAATTTGAGCGTGTAATTCGGCTTCTGAAATCAAATATTATAATTAGCGCCAAATTGCACGTGCTCAGCGCGAAGTTACATAAACATGTGCAAACCGCCAGTGACATATGAATACTAATATGGTAATAAAAAGACACGCTATTTACCGCTACTGACGACTTGTTTGACTGCGGAGCACTTTGTGATAACGAATTTGGGCCGGATAAGTTGGTGGAGGGCCCACCGTGAGTTTGGTGTGCAGTAGGATGGCCAGGCCCGGGTCCTAGCGGCACCATGTTTCAACTTTCGACGCACTAGTGCCTGCTTTTATTCGTCACCCAAAACAATCACTAATAAACACTGAATAGCGACGCAAATCAGTTTTTTGTATGGATAAATCCCAAAACTTGTCACTCACTCGCGGTGTTTCATATAATTCAACGTAGATTTTTAAAGAACGTTCCAAATGCGAGCGTCCCAATACGTGCATTTCGCGAGTTCGCGACGAATAATCAATGTTGCCAACATACCAATACCACTGTACCGGTGACCAACCAGCGACAAAGATAAGCTCCATGGACAAACTCGCTACCACCCTAAGGCCCGTCTGACACTAAAAACCGCTAAAAACATTACGTAATTGAGATGAGTCGTACTAGGTAAATTTCAGTGCACCTAGTCCAATTCCGTATTAATACTCGATCCAAATACCTGTTCCACCTAGTCCATAAAGTATCAAGTACACATAAAGTTTAGTATTGTTGGAATAGGAATAGGATACGCTATAGTTTCAAGTACCATATTTTACGTGCGTACTGCTGAAATTCAAATTCAAATTCAAATTCAAATTTATTTATTTGTGAATACAGGTAATGAGACAGAATAGATCTTATATGTATATGTTATATAAATATGTTCGCTGCATTCGACCCTTAGGTATACAAATATTACGTACAGTTACAATTAAATTATTATATATTATTTCATTCTATTATTTATATTATAATTATATGAGAAAATTCAAGAACGAATGTAATAATTAATTAAAATGGGATATTTACAATAATATATTGTCCAATCAAAAGTCAAATGAATTATATTTTGTGAATGTCATTATAATATGCCTACTGATGCGTCACTTAAATATTCATCTATTGAGTAGTAGCATTTCTCAATTAGAAATGTTCTAAATTCTTTTTTAAATTTATGAATATTTTCCATGTCATGAAACATAGATGGAACCTTATTATATATTTTAGACAATATACCAAAAACGCTTTTTCTAAGTAAAGCTGTCTTTGATGAAATTGTATGAATTTTATTTTTACGTCGGTTGTTCGTTATTAGATAATCATTAAATATTTCAGGATTAGTTTTTACAAATGTTACAACTTCATAAATATACATTGCGGGAAATGTCAATAACTTAAATTTTTTAAATTGTGGTTTACAGCTTTCTGTACTCGATATGCTTGCAATAGCACGCACACACTTTTTGTGTGCTTTAAATAAAAAAACGTGTGCAATAATGAATTCCTAGATCTTCCCTTCATACTTTACAAAATTATTATAATTATTCTCGTAAATAAATTACAAGAATTAAGGTTATATGAGAAATAAATTAAGATCATTTACTTCCAATTACTTCAAATGCTACTTAGTAGTACTTCATATTTTGTAAAATTTGTTTTAAAAGATGTTTATCTTTGATTTATTTGAAAAACTCTAGAATGGGAGTACTCGCCTATTGATTTTGTATGTCTTGATTTTAAGCTGCTATGTTTTTTTTACTATTGCTACAATTCTATAATAGGTTGATGTAGCTCATAATCACGGAAGGAAGACTTTAAAGTAGATAATTTTCATTTATCTCTCATATAATCTTAATAGTAACGAGCCTAATTATAATATTTTTTAGAATACTGTTTGCAAAATTCTTATAAATAACATTAAAAAAAAGAATTGTTCTGAAAAATAAAAAGTGAGTTTGTCAGTTCCGGCGCACGACTGAATTTCACTACTTACGAACGATTATAAAATATATAGATTAGCATATGTGGGTAAATGAACGCATTTTTATACTACTAAAAGCATGCATGACACATTTACTTATATTAATTATTTAATGTATATTCATCAAAATATATTACATAATCATCGAAACGTAAATTGTTTACGCTTCCAATGCTATGTTATGTAGTCATGGAAACATGAAAACAGCGTCCACCGAGATCACATTCGCATGAGTCCGTACCGTATTTGACAATAGACACTCGCCTGCCTTGTACTCTTGTATAAGTATTTGGTTGAACTAGTCCGAGTCCCGACTAGTCTCGTACTAGTATTTGGTTGAACCAGTCCGAGTCCCGACTAGTCTCGAGTCTCGAGTATTGACAGACAAAGATAGAAAGACTACGGAATAGTCTAGTTAAAAAAGGACAGAATATATTATTACACAACAAACACGAGTGCGCGTCACGTTACCTTTATGTTCATTAAAATTTGGTTCAAATTCAAATGACTGACAAACTAATGATTTAGGCAAAGACGACCCCAGTTGAGCCCCTAGTAACTACATACGCCTCGAGTACGACCACAGTGAGACTAGATGGATCAAGTATTTTAAAAGTTGGAATAGGTGCAACCTAGTCTCGTTAAATACTTAGTCCCTGGATCTGTTCTAGTATATACGCTTCATCTCTATTACGTAATTCCGTTTCGTAATTTCGAAACACAAACTAATAAGAGTTTCGAGACGTAACGAACGAGCCGGGCACACACATACGGAATCCCGTTCTGCACGCAAAATTTTGAATAGAAAACTACCGTAGACGTAGACAGAGAAACCTATAGACTAATGATTAGCGTGGCCTCGAGTGAGAAAGGACGATAACGTAATTTTAGGTTATACAATAATCTTTATGACTTTTAAACATATTTAGATAAAATATTTAATTGCTCTATGGAGGGTTACAGTCGTTCTCTCCCGCGGGGACTAGCCGTATTGGGAAGCCGTGCCGAAGCCGTGGACAGGACCAACAGGCAAATGCAAGCAAGGAAGACCGAAAAAAAGATAGGTCTATGAGATTGAAAAGACAGCAGGAAAAAATTGATTAAAAATAGCACAGAATCGAAAAGAGTGGAAAAAGACGGAGGAGACCTTTACCCAAAGGGGGGTCCTTAATTGAAATATATATTTTATTTTATTTTCTAAGCGTACATATAATTGTTGTATTGTAAATATTTTCTATTAAGGAATAAAGAGGCTTTATTATTATTATTATTATTTAATTGCTCTAAGAATTGAACTGAACAGGATTCACCAATCTTAAGCTCATAAAACACGTTTTTCTCACTTAAACCAACTTGTAAACTCCTAAGATTAGTAAGAACTGTCAAAGTTGTTCAGCAAAGTGCAGTTTGCTAAACAAAAAAATCGGCACGGAGAAAGGGACAAAAAGTCACACCGCTCTGTCTCATTTCTATGCAAGACGTATGCATAAATCTATCTTTTTCGTGTACGAATGCGAAAGAAGGCGTCAATTTGTCTATAGGTTTCTCTGTCTACGACCGTAGATGTGTGACGGGTCTCTGATTTATTTACGGACTTGCTCCGTTCGGAATCCCGAATCAGAATAGGGTACTTTACACCATGTAAAATAAAATCAAAAAATAGATATTTATTATAGATTTTGTAAAGTACACGAGAAATAATGATTGCTGTTTAATAAATTGCATTAAAAATTTTATATTTCAATTGCAAGAATATTTTTTTCGCCTGTGGCTCAAATCTGCAAAACGCTGTCCGCCATATTAGCCAAGTCGTGACGTCACTGATCCAGCCTAATGGTTCCTACTGACGATACGTCCATTAATCCAAATGGAGTGGTAATCGTCCAATATCATTCCGTTAATGGTAAAAATATATTCCATTTGGATGGAATTCATCCAGCTATGGATTTCCAAACGGATTGAAATCCATGCGACCAGTCCAAATGGACGTCATCCACGGCCGTCCGTCAATGTTAAAAACGTGCGCCATGCCAAATGGAAGTCGTCCGAATCGTCAGTGAATGGGCGAATCGGCATCCATTTTTTGAACGTTATTGTGTCAGTTAATGTTTTGGTGTTGATGGTGGATATGTGCTCTGTTTGTCAAACATAAACTGTGTATTGGATTAAACATATTTTTATTATGTAAACTATGGGCTATGATATGGGTGACAAACGAGTACAGAGTCCACATTATGTTATGTTGATACTATAGCCCATACACTGAATCTGTCATCAAATAAGAATCAAAATGTAAATACATTGTCACCCCTGGTTCTTTACACTCAGCATATGAAATGCATCAGATTTAAGCTGCTATTTTATGCTATTTTGTGAGATCGTGGACCTACTACTTTCGAGCCGACCCATTTGTGCTATAGCCATAATATAGATGCAACGTTGCTCTACCACGTGTAGTTATAATGAATAATATCCACTATATGTTGATTTCTTTAATTTCTACCTCAGTCAACGATGTTGCTCCACCATAATCTATACCATATCTAGAATGGGAGTGACAAACTAACACACAGTCCACCTGGTGGTGAGTGCTATGACCCATATAGACATTTACATGTATCCTCAATTAAGAATCAAAATATAGATGCGTTGTCGTCTTTGAAGATTACGATGGATTGCCCCGTTTAGGCTTTTTGTCTTTTTAATGAAATACACGCTGCTGTAGTCACCAGTAATGTACTATTAAAGTATTGTTATGGAACTATTCGGTTTAAAAAAATATATAAAAATTATAGTGGTTCACTATTACTCTAGGATTCATTTAAAATAATTTTTGCAAATGGGTGTAATACCCTATTCCAAAATGAAATCCCAAAATGGAATTCTGTATGTATGTGGCGAGCCTAAGTTTCCCGTGCCCCGTTTTACCCGGAATGTGTTTTGAACGGCGTATAAATGAGTAGAGAAATTTATACTTTATTGTATATATACATTCTGATTATATATACAATAAAGTATTATATTATATACATATATTATACACGAAATGTATATACACATTTCGTGAGTACATAATTTGATACAAAAAAATTACCCAAACAAGCCCAAGTTTACTTAAAAGAAAAAAATTCAAATATTTTGAATAAAACTACTTCTACGGATTTTATCACGTTTAATTCTACTTGTTATTAATTCCCGGCGTTTAAAATATTTTACAATATAATATGTAAAGTCTGCACGGATAAAGAATGGAATTAGAAATTGCGGCTCATCGAGCCCGTAC